CACACACACACACACACACACACACACACACACACACACACACACACACCTAAAACCTCACCTAGGTGAGTTCTCAGGGAAGCAGATACAGGTCAGGGGATACCAGACAGGTGAGTTCTTAGGTGAAAACACTGTCTTCAACTTTTCAAAAAGACTGTTTTCATTCCTACATTCACTGAAGATGCAGTTCTTCTTATAGTTAAGTCTGCATTCCCCTCGCTACAGCCTCACCTCTTTGGACATCAGGGAAGAAATAGGTGTACAAAACATGCGGGGGAAGGGTGTGTGTGTGTGTGTGTCACAGCTTCAAAAACTTATGCATGTGAATTTAAACACCCTTCCTTGTTTATCTTCTGGAAAACTATCTGATGACATGACTCACCCTTCTTCCTTTGGGATCATGGGTTTTATGTCAGTTAATCCCTTGCAAAGCCTCTATTCAGCTATTATTTGATGCTAACTCTATTCTAACAGCTTGGTAGAATTTTGTTGATTCTTTTTTGTTGTTGTTGTTTATTCTACAGTAAATAACATGATAATAGAATCTCTTTCCTTTTCCTTCAGTAGCTTTGTGTCACATATTGAATAAAATGCAATTTGTTGTTCTCTGGGTTACGACCATTGCATTTCTCATACATTAGACCTCCCTTCTCCTGCTCTCGGGAAATTGTTTTTATATTAGTCATTTACCCTGTAGTATGAACAAGCTTTGCCTTAAATGCCATTTCCCCCAGGGCTGTTGAGACTTGCAGCTACGGTTATTAATGATAACCTCTGTTGTTAGCAGCATCTATTTGTTTTCAGAATCAGGAGCCTTGAGAGTAGTTGTCATAAGGTTGCTCTCTCCGTGACCTTCACCAGCTTGATCTTCCTTCCCTGACTCATTTGTAAAATGAAGACATTGGACCAAGTGGTATCACCAGGGCTACTGCACTCAGTTTTATAACTCATAGTGTTGCATTTCATGGGCAAGGGCAGTCAGGGACCCTGCCCTTGTGGGTATGCTCCCCCCTCCTCACCCCCATGGCTTCACAAATGTCCTCCCCTCTTCTCTTGATCAGGGCAGACAGTCTTCTCTACCCAAGTATGGGAACCAAAGCCAACATGAATCCTGAGCGGTGGGTGATGGGGAGGGTAAGACAGATGACACTAACCCTAACGATACAGTGTTGCTGTTGTGTAGGGTCACATCAGAATCGACTCATAACCGACCCTCCAGAGGCTTTTCAAAGACAGTTAATCGCACGGGAAGAGATTACCCACCTTTCTGCCTTGGCTTTCTCCCACCCATGTGCCTTTGGGTTGACAGTGCAACTCTTTACCACTGAGCCACCAGAGCTCGGATGACACCTTTGGGTAGGGCTAATGTCTCTCTCAGATCTCTGTCACTCTTATTTTCTCCAGTTCCCTGAGGCAAGTGTGCACAATTCCCTGTGAACAGTCTCTCCTCCTCATATAGTGATGTGGTGAACAGTCCCCCCCCCCATAACCTCCTACACCCTCACCTTCCACCCCGGAGGGTGGTATTCATTCTGGTATTCATCTCTCACCCAGGAAGGTTGCCCCCAATGAGGATCCTCCCCAAGGGGTACTCTTTTCCATTGGCTACCACAGGAGGGCTGACTTCCAGGTTCCCGAAAGAGTCCAAGCCACACACGGACTTATCTCGTGGTTCCCGAGTCACATAGCCAAAATCTGGACCCTGGTGGGGGAAACTGAGTCAGGTTGAGGTTTTCCTTGCTGTTGTTTTGATGGAGAAACTGAGTCAACATTTCCTCCATACACAGAGGTCAAAGTGCAGAAGCATTTGGGCCTTACACCTACCTACCTACCTTAGTAGGACAGTGTTATTATGCTCCAGGGTCACAGCATACAGTTAGAGGGCTCTGATTATTCCCGCACTTCCGTTAGACTTCAAGTCCAAGGCCATGGCCACACTAGCCTTGTGCCCTTACCTTCTGCACCATCTTCCTGCCAAGTTTGGCCCCCGGACTGGCATATGGCCTCTCTAGAGTGACCTGGTCCTGGGGCCAAGGAGGCTGGTGAGGGCCCTTTGGACTTCAGTCTCCCAACTCTGGCGAAGGGAGAACTCCCCAGGACCAGTTCCTGAAAGGAACTTTGCCAAGATCCAGTGTCAGGTCAGAGCTCCTGACAGTTGTAGGGGCCAATGGGAGATTGCTGGGACTCTGTTCTCTGTGGCATCAAGGGTATCGCCTCTCTTTCCTCAAGGGGTCCTGGTCAACCATCATCTTCACTGTTTTCTTGATTACCAACAATAATATTAGCTAACAGTGTCATGTGGTCCCCCTGTGCTTTGCGTGGGTGATCTTATTAAAGTCTCACCATGACCTTGTGAGGCTAGGGCTAAAATATCACTTTTCCTGATAGAGAAATTCAGGCCCAGAGGGGAGACGTGACTCCTGGAAGTCACACAGCATATGCATGGCAGAGCCAGGTTGTCCCAACAGCTAAGCCTGCACCAGTTAGAGCTGTTGGATTTAGCAAGGACAAATAGAGGACACCAGTTAATTCTAGATTTCATACAATGTTATTTAGAGTAAGCATGTCTGTGCAATATTTGACAGATCAGCAGCTGGCAAACAATGCTTTATGTTTAACTGTTGTCCTGTACTTTATCTGCCAAGTCTATCTCATCCTCATAGTATAAGGTCCCTCTGCTATTCCCCTGTGCTCCACACTCTAGTAGGCTCTTGGGGTATTGGCCCCTTGGCCCTCGTGGCTGGGACCACTTACCAGGATTCGTTTGTAAGGGAAGTCCTGCAGCTCCCCGTTCCTCGGGGAGTCAAAGACCACCGGGAAGGTCTTGTGAGGGGCCTGAATGTAGCCAAGCTCCATCTCGTCCTGAAATAATGAAGAGAAAGGACAATGGTGAGCAGCTGAAGGCTTCATTCGCTGGCCCAGACTGGTTTCATAATCTCTGTCTCAGGCCCGGGTCACCAGGATCATGGTGTCCACTGGCCAGAGCAGGGTCTGGAGGCCAGGAGAGGATCAGAGGTCTGAGAAGTCTCCCCATAAAACAGAGGCCAAGCGAAAACAAGAACGTGGATGTGTCTTTGAGGAGTCATCTTGCATGAGGCCAGGGCAGGGTGGACACCTGGCAGCCTGAGTAGGACCATGAGGACAAGTGGCCCTCAGTCAAGCCCTGTGGCCTCCACAAATGGTCCAGAGGGATTGATGACAGCTGGGCAGGGACACAGAGACCTGAAGGTCCCTGAGGGGCTGCAGATCTGCTTCCTCTTCAGACCCACAGACATGTCCAGAATAACGCTGGCCCCTCTGGTTTCAGAGGCTGAGACGCCTGGTTTTGCTGAACCGTCACGCAGCAGCAAGAAGCTCACTTACTGGGCTCCTGGCCCAGCCAGAACCATCTTTTATTAAAAAAATTTTTTTCAATAATTATATTCAATAATTGAATGCTGAGAATACACACAGCAGAGCATGTGCCAATTCACCTGCTTCTGCTTGCACACTTTGGTAACGCTGATCACAATCATGTAACGTTGGTCACAGTCATTCTCATCTACCTTTTCTGAGCTGTTCCTCCTTCATTAGAACAAACTCACTGCCCTCGAAGCTTCCTATCATTTGAGTTCCCGTAGAGATACTTCTCAAAAGAGCACAACGCTCAAGGCAGATCTTTTACTGGTTAAGCTAAACTCATGTTCAGCTTTAAGAAGACCTGAGGGGCTAATTTCAGCTGATGGTTTATAGATGTTAACGCCCCTGATCATGTGACTCTCCGTTCAGGAGGCACGATTTATCTCACAGGACTCATCTCTCGTACTTCTGTGTAATCAGGAGGGTGTGATCCCTAGAGGAAGGCTATGCTTGGAATAGTAGAGGGTTAGTAAAAGAGCAAAAGACCCCCAGTGTTATGGACCGACACAGAAGCAGCAACAATGGGCTTTTAAGCACAGTGGAAATGTGACGAAAACACAGGATTGGGCACGCTTGCTTTCTGCTATGAGTCGGAGCTGACTCAGCGGAACGTTACAGATGTTCATAACAACATAACAGATGAGGAAAGTGGGGTCTGGTCTCTTGTTAAAGGTTTTATGGCTTGTCAACGGATCCGAACCCAGACAGTCTTGCTCGGAAAAACCATTCTACACTCCAGTTCTCCCCTCATTCTAAAACTTCCTGGAGACGGAGACCCAGGCACTTACAGCCGCTGGATTCAACACTTTTCATCCATACTATTCAGTCTTACTTTATACCATATCATACTATATACATACGTATATGCTCCAGACAAAACAAAAGTTCCTGAGTTTAGCATTCAAAGTCCTGCAGACTCAGCTCTTTTCCTTTTTCGGAACCTCTGTCCTGGCCCAAAAGAACATGTGACATTCCACATTCCCTGTCACGCCTCCCACCTCAGAGTTTCTGTAGACGCTGGTACTCTGGCAAAAGCACTCTCTTCTACAGCCTGGTGGAGAAGCTTAAAATCCAGCAGCCCCCCTGGAGAGCTCATTTATGTTCCAAAGACATTGCCAGGCCTTTTCTCTAAGACACCTCTGCATGCACTCAAATCTCCAACTGTTGGGTTCACGGTTGAGCATTTTAACCATTTTTACTTCCCAGGGTCTCCAGGGGTAATTGTAGAAACAAAAAAAGCAAAGTCCTACTGCTGCTGAGCAAATTCCGACTCGTAAATTGCAACCTCATAGGACTGCCAAGAAGACGAAATGAGAAAAGATATGGACACGGCCCTCAGTAAATAGTAGAAATTATTGAAGGTGCTCCCACAAAATCTGATGCAACTCAGAGCTGATGCCACCCTCCTCCAAGCCCGCCAGTGCCCTGCCTGCTCCTTGTCACATATTAGAGTGCAGGAATGGAGTTTGTCATAACCATTCACCAGACCACGCTTGACCTCAGCACAACTGCAGCTTGGGATTGGATACCTCTGCTCTAGGTCTAGAATTAGAAAGATCAGTGGCCTGGGAGGAAGACACAGTGCTAGGCCTGCCTGGTTATTTCCCAGCAGCCTCTACGAGGGGAGGCTGACTTCTGCCACCAGGGCAACGACTTGCACAGTGACTGTCTTACCTGGATCCAGCGGTCATTGCGGTTCTCATCCTGCGGGCAGATGGTCAGTTTGCAGCCAGCCTTCTCAGCCAGCTCTGCCACCGCGTTCACAAAACACATGTTGTTTCTCACACTGTGGATGAGGCCAAGGAGAGTGGCTCAGGACAGAGCAGGGTCTGGGGCCACCAGAACCAGAGAGACGCCTCACACCCTGTCAGACTCACCTGCACACGTACACCTCCAGGGGTGGCAGGGTGCTGGGTGTCATGATCCAGGGGGCGACTCGGAACACCACTGTGTCAGTGAAGATCGGGGTCTCAGAGAAGTCCTGCAGAGGAGACCCAAGGGGAATAAGTGCTGGGCTTGGAGCCAGAGGCCTGAGCACAAATTCTATTTCCACCACTGCCATCCTTTAATCTTAGTCTCTGGAAAGGAGCCAGTCTGCTGGTTGAGAAGTCTAGGATCTTCAGCACCTGTGCCTCCCAGGAAGGGAGCCCCTCCCTGATCCCAGCTAGCCTCATTGTTACCTCATTGGAGTCATCCAGCAGGGTGACGTGGAAGGAGAGAATCCCAGAGAAGCCAGTGTCGGGGAAGGAAAGGCCTTCTATGTAGAAGCGCTCCTCGTCTCCGTTGAAGCGAGGCACCACGTAGGACACCTTGTCCTGGCCCAGCACATGCACGTAGGCTTCACAGTCATCCTCAGGACCTGCAAGAGAGGAGGGTACCGGCAGCCGTGACTTCTGGTGGACTCGGGGAGCAACGCGGTAACAGGCATAAGAGACAAAGAGCTTCACAGCCAGAGAGATGAATGTGTGCCGGCCAACTCTCACTACACACCAGGAAAGGAGAGAGAGACGTGGGTTACACCCAGGGCAGCCAGGCTGGGAGAAAGCCAGGGGCACAATGATTGATAACAGATTCAGTGTGTTTGGCTCCACAATCAACACTCTCGGCACCGGCAACCGAGAAATCAAAAGATGAATTGCGTTGGGAAAATCTGCTGCCAGGGACCTCTCCAGAGTACTGAAGAACAACAATGTCAGTCTGGAGAATAGGGCGTACTTGATCCAGGTCATAAACGTCACAGTTATTTGCTATGCATCAGAAAGGTTGACAATGACTATGGATGGCAGGAGAATTGATGCCTTTGACCTGTGGTGCTGGAAAAGATACTGAATATACCATGTCCTGCTAGGAGAACAAACAGATTGATCCTGAAGAGGCAGGCTGCTCATTGGAGGCAAGGATTCTAAAGCTCCATCTGACATACTTTGGACATGTTGCAAGAAGGGACCAATCCTTGCAGAGGGACATCATGATTAGAAGAGTGGAGGGACAGCACAAGAGAGGAAGAACCTGGAGAGGTGGATTGGCCCAGTGACTGGGATAATGGGGGTAGGTGTGCCAGAGACAACGAGGTTGGTTCAGGATAGAGCAGGGTTCAGAATTGTATATAGGGTCACAAGCGACTCGACAGCACATAACAACAACTACAACCAAAAATCAGCAGTTCAAACCCACCAGCTGCTCCACAAGGGACAGATGCAGCAGTATGCTTTACAGCAAGATTTCCATGAAGGTTTCCAGCCTGTGGGCTGTTCTACTCTGTCCTACAGGGTCATTATGAGTTGGGATCAACTCGATAGCAGTGGGCAGGTAAGGCTAGTGGGAAGGTCAGTCTCTACTGAGACAGATGTTCAGATCTTTTGGAGGGAGAGCAGTGGAGCAGTGGTAAGAAGCTGCGCTGCAATCCTGAAGGCACATGGTTTGAGGCCACGAGATGCTCTGCAGGAGAAGGGGGGGCACATTCACATACATACGTGAGTGCAGACAGAAAAAGGTCTAAAACAATACATTCCAAACTGTTCACAAGGACTGCATTCAGAGAGTCAGGTTTAGAGGGTAAGAGGGAATAAATATTCATTTTTCACTTTATATACTTCTATAACTCAATTCCATTTGTTGCTGGCAAGTCAGAACTGACTCACAACTTACCCTCTGGCAGGCTTTTCTGAGAATGCAAATCAAACAAAAAGTGATCTATTTCCTGTAGAACAGCTAGTAGATTTGAATCACTTAGAAAGACATCACTTTTGAATTAGAAGAGCAACTCCTGAAAGGCTATAAAGCATATTTCTATACACCTCCAAAAAACCCAATTGGTATTAGGTGCCATGAATTGACTCTGATTCATAGCAACTGTAGTTATAACAACAGAATGGTAGTGCTTTCTAAAAAATACAATGGCTAAAAAAATATATATAAAAAATACAATGGCTAATCTGCACTAGATCCCTGGTCCTTTCGATCACTTTATATGCATATGAAAGTTGGATGGTGAAAAAGGAAGACTGAAGGAAAATAGACGAATTTGAATGGCATTATAGGCGAAGACTATTGGATCTATGGTGGATTACCAAATAAATGAAAAACATAACCAGAATGTTCCTTCAAAGCCAGGATGGTTAAGCTCTGGTCACAGCATCAGGAAAGACCAATGACTAGAAGATGACATCATGATTGGTAAGCAGAGGGTCCGCTGAAATGAGGGAGCCCTTCAGTGAGATTGATGCTAGTGGCAACAATGGACCAAACACAGAAGCAATTGTGAAGACGGTGTGGAACTGAGCGATGTTTGGTTCACTTGTACATGAATCAGACTCAACTTGATGGCAACTAAAATATTTTAAATATTTTTAAAGTAAGTGTCTTATTACTTGAATGTTGTTGTTTGTTATGTGCCGTCAAGTCACTTGCAACTCCTAGCAACCCTATGACCAACAGCTCTAAATCCTACTCTATTCTGAGCCAATCTTATTGTCTCTGACATGCCTACCCCCATTACCCCAGTTACTGAGACAATCCACCTCATCCAGGGTCTTCCTGTCTTGCACTGTCCCTCCACCCTTTCATGACGTCCCTCTCCAAGGACTTGTCCCTCCCTGCAACATTCCCAAAGTATGTCAGATGTAGCTTCAGAATCCTTGCCTCCAAGAAGCAGCCTGGTTTCACCCTCTCTAAGACGAACATGTTTATTCCCCTAGCAGTCCATGGTATATTCAACACTCTTCTCTAGCACCACAACTCAAAGGCATCAATTCTCCTTCTATGATCTCTAGTTACTGTCCAGCTTTCTGATGTGTAACAAGTAATTGTGAAGACCATAGCTTGGATCGGCTGCACCTTAATTTCCAGACTGACATCGTTGCTCTTCAGTACTCTGGAGAAGTCCCTGACTTTCCCAATGCAATTCATCTTTTGGTTTCCTGGCTTCTAGTACCAAGAGTGTTGATTGTGGAGCCGGACAAACTGAAACTATTAACAATCTCAGTCTCTTCTGATCAATCATGATGCTATGAGGATCTTTGTTTTCTTGATGTTGGGCTTCGATCCCTGTTTAAGGCTGTAGTCCTTGACCTTCTGCAGCAAGTGCTTCAGGTCTTCAGTTTCAACAAACATGTTGTTGTTGTTGTTATGTGTCGTCGAGTCACAAACATATGTTTGTATTTTTAGATGGCTTTGTGACTAGGCAAAGTATTCTTTCAAGGAATGAACAACAAATTGTTTAGGGGCAAACCCCACAATGTCCAGGATATCACCTGATGAACCAAAATTGTAGCATTTATTGAGATACCAGCTGATGAGCTCAGACTCCCACATGCCACAGCTCTTCCTTGGATCTCTCAGGGCATCTCCTCAGCCTAGTGAAGTCAGCCCACCAGCCATATAGGCAGGTGCCTAAGGGAGAAAGGCAAGAACTCACCACAGACATGGAAGACTCGTGCCCGATAAGCATCGTAGTTGGAGGTGTGGAGGACAAGTTTGTGGTCATCAAAGAGGGCAGCAGGGCCTTGGGTCCGCAGGACCATGACAGACATGTCTTCCAGATCTGGGAAAACAGACAGAGGAGTGGCAAGTCCATGGAGCCCTTGGTCTGTCCAGTCCTGACACCATCACCTCCTCCCTCTTCCCACCTCCCTCTTCTGGACAGGCAGTTGCAGACCTGGGTCATCCAGCCCAGCCCTGCCCATCCAAAGAAAACACTGGAAATAACAAGGGCAAACCAGGAAGGCATATGTAAACATATAATGAGCTGAACTGGCTCATATTCCTCTGGACCTCCGTTTCCTCATTTGCCCAGAGAAACATGAGAATTGAACAGCAGCCGGCACCTAGCGGAAGACAGGCACTCAGGAGCACAGTTCAGGCTAAGTCCCTGAGATCACCAGTGTGTGACATTGAGCAAGCCCTTCCCCAGCCTGGCCGTCGATGGAGGACAGTGATGCTCACAGTCTGAAGGTGATGGTGAAGGCCATGAATACAGAGAATCTGCCACACATCATTGTTGTTTGGTGCCTTCCAGCTGACTACTATGACTCACAGCAACCTTACAAACAAAAGAACCTTGAGCCATCCTAACGATTGCTGTTTTGTTCAAGCCCATTATCCCAGTCACTGGGTCAAGCCATCTCTTTGAGGGTCTTGTCTTCTTCTCTGATCCTCCACCTTCGCCAGCATGTTCTTTCCCAAGGACTGACCCCTCCTGACCACATGCCCAAAGAATGTGAGATGATATCTCACCATCCTTGCCTATAAGAAGCACCCTGCAGTCCATGGGATAGTCAATACTCTTCCTTGACACCACATCTCAAAGGCATCCATTCTTCCTCAGTCATCTTTAATCATCGTCCAACTTTCAGATAGGAAACGGCATAGGAAGCAGTTGAAAAGACCATGGCTTATATCAGGTGCAGCTTGGTCTTTCAATGCACATCCTTGCTCTCTAGCACATTGGAGAGGTCCTTGGCAGCACATTTCCCCAAGGCATCCCAGGCATTGTAAAATCATTGTCGCAGGGCCGTTCATGAGCCAGGGATGGACTTGGAAGAAGGTGAAGCATTAGAGGTGCAAGGAGGAGAAGGAGTTTAAGGTCAGACTGGCTCAGATTGGACGTGTGACTTTGTAGAAGCTCCTCGACCTCTGGGAGTCAGCATCCTTATCTCTAAATTGGAGTGAGGGTACTAGTAAACCAGCAGCAATCAAGTTGATCCTCACTCATGGGGTAGAACTCTGCTCAGTGGGATTTTCAGTAGCTAAATTTTCATAAGTGGATCACCAGGCCTTTCTTCCAAGGTGCCTTAGGTAGACTTAAACCTCTATCCTTACAGTCAGCCGCTGGGTGCATGGCCTTTTTACATCGTTTTGGTGATAAGTTGATGTAATCTATCTGTTTTGAATGCATCTTAATGTGAATCTTCATACAGGTGTCTTTGTCATAAGTCTTTGAAGATTAAAGGGAAATTTTGAGAAAGGACCCAGCACACAGCAGGTCTGTGAAAAGTATTAGCATCCTCTGCTTCCCAGAGCATGAAGTACCTGCTGGCACTGGGAATGTGGGGGAAGGGCAGTGTCTGCCTGTGATGGGGTTTGAGGGACCCTGTGGGCTGGGACTCTTGCCCCCTGGCTCTGTTTTCAGAGGCCCTGCCTGAAGTTGGGATCCCTGCAAGGTAGCTGAGCAGTGACCACAGGTGAGGACACGGGCTGCCTCATCTCCTCACCTTGTAGACAGCGCACTTGCTGGTCAGAGTTGTCCCTCTTGCCATAGCTTGGATCATCCCGGTCACAGTTCACCAACAGGATAGCTCCGTACCCACTGGGTCCCCAGACCCACTGCCGCTGCAGATGGGAAAGCACAGCAGGTGGTGGGGTTCTGGACAGATTTGTGGCTCCCCCTCCAAGCAGCTCCC